CGAATGATGAGTGCCGAGATTACTCGAAGGAAGTTAGGGTTTACTTGTAGGGGTGCAATCCCCAATTTGTTAAAGACTAAATGATAAAAAGGATGAAGGGGGAATCTAAGAGCGTTGAGATGCCCAACAGAGAAGAGCAACTCGTCTTCTCCGACGCCCTCGCCGGCACAAAAATCGGCGCCCTTAGGGTATTCTACAATTTCTACCCCTTGGGAATCTCGAAATCTTCCATTACGGATTCAATGAAAAACTTGATACTACGAACAGATAAAATTGCGTTTCTTTCTTCCTTAGTAAAAATATTGTCCGACCCAGAGGTGGATGTCTCAGCCTGGATTGGGGAAACATCCGGCTGATTAACCGAGTCATTTGCAGACTTAAGGAAGTTCGAAACCCTAGGAGGAGGAACCCTAATGAGATTAGGGGAAGATGAGGGCGTGGACTCAGATTCTGCAATTTCTATACGTTCAGGAGTAGTCGAAGTACTTATAATGCAAGATTGGAATAAGGGAAAGAAGAATTAACCTGGAGATATGAGAATATGAAGAACGCAATGGATGAAACGAGCACACTGAGAACAAAAGCAAGTCTTGAAGAATTCCTTGAGTCAGAATAACAAAAGACACAAATGGAAATGCCTCATGCGAAAGTGGCAACTGCACAACTTCAATTCCCCTTTAATTAGGAGCCATAACCCAATTAAAGAGGAATTGGGGGCAAAGTGTGGAGGGAAAAATCTCCCTCCAATGAGAATAATCCACGTCATCATAAATATAAACTTATCCTTGATGAGTTTATGAAGCCCACCTCGCTCAAACCCAAATTGAGTTTAAAGCTAGTCCAAGATCACTGTTCGCAATCCCAATACTAATGTTATTTGACCTTCAGCCCTATTGAAGCCCGAATCAAAAGATTATCAGCCCAACATGGTAACATCAAACATTCAGCCCGTTACTCAAACCCAATTGGTTCAAGGTATATTCAGCTCAGTTTTCCAAGATTGGACAAATCCTATCGGTGGAAGGATTTATCATAAAAGGAGAATTCTTTTATAGGAAGTTCTATACAAGGCAAGTTCTACGTAGGAAATATTACACAATAGAAAGAACTTTATTTGTAAAGAAAGTCATGTATGAGAAGAATTGGAGGACAAGCAACGTGAGTCCTACCTTAATTCTACCAATTTGTGTGTATAAATAGAGGTCCAAACCTCCAATAAAGGGATCCAAGCAATTCTACGCTTCTCTATACACTGTTCTTATTTGTTTTTACTGTTCTTGAGTGTGTTATATTATTTTTCTCAATCATTATTGGTTGAGCGGAATTTTGCACCTACAGTGATATAAGAGCAGTATTGTTGTATTATGGAGTTGGTTAAAACTCGATTTTTTTAAGTCGGGCTAAATAGCAATACTCTTTAAAAAAATATTTCTTGATTTCAAATTTCTTGAGAATTAGTGCTTAAATAATGACATTTTACTCGAAGAGAGAGTGAGAGATAATGAAACAAATTTCTTAAACCCAAATTTAATGTCGAGAGAGTAAAGAGATGGAAGAGGTAAATGTAGTACTATAGAGAAAGAAAAAGTCTAAGATTTACAGAGAAAAAAGAAATTATTTAATTGTAAATCACGTTTAACAATTAAGAGTAGGCCTTACCTTTTAAAGAAGGCGAATTAAAAAGAAATTATTTAATTGTAAAGTTGAGTCTTTTTTTTTTTTTTTTTTAACTTTTTGCGCGTGAACAAATGGTACTTGTCCCGAGTTTGAAAAAATGGTTAGATAATTAATCTTATTATTTTATTATTTATAAAATTACAAAATATATATACAATTTATAAAATACGGAGTAGTTCGATTTGGTCATGTAAAAATTTAAATCAGTGACCGAATGTTTATAAGGGATTTCATATTTTTAGAACCAAAATTGAATTATAGCGTTAAAAAATAAAACCAAACTTATCAGTTTGATTTTGTCGATGCAATTATCGATTAAATAGGATTTTTGTCCACAGCTATTACCCACTAAGGCTTGCGACATGGAATGTAATTGTTGAAGCACACCAGAGATAGGACCGTAAAGATTTGACATTCGATATGATTTTTTGCATTAAAGTTCATGGATATTAGGATTGTAAAGATTCTACATGGGAGTGACGATGACAGAGGGGGAGAGAGAGAAGAGAATACTCTCTTGGATTTTGTGATTTCTTGCATAAATAAAACTTCTTAATCTCGTAAAAAATGTTATATTTAAAAATTTGTGACTTACAATTATTGTGAGTCACGATTCCCTAAATATGTTACTTTATTATAAAACAGATAAAGTTAATATTTAAATTAATTATCAAATAAATATAATTAAGTACCGTAATAAAATATGATCATTAAAGGAGAAAGAATGCTAAGGACAGTAACTTAAATGTTAAAAATATTACATACTTTAAAACAAAACTCACATTTTAAAGACAAAACTACCTTTTAAATCATTTTTCTTTACCTTTCTTGTATCTCCTCCCTCAATCCATATATATGTAATATATGTATATTTTTTATTATTTTTATTTTTTTCCTTTTTATTTCCATTGTTACCACTAAAAAATAACTAGTGGTCATAATTGAAATAAAGAGAAAAGAAATAAAGACAATATACATATATATATATACACACACTACAAGAAAGGTAATAAAAAGGATTTAAAAATTAGTTTTGCCTTTAAAAGATTAATTTTATTTTAAAGTAGGTTATATTTTTCAATTTCTTTGATAATAAAAAAAGAGTAATTAACAAGACTTAAAATAACCAAGCGAATGTGAAAATACACGTGGCATACCGTAGTATTCCTCTATATATACTATACATGGCACAAACTATATATATATATATATATAAAGTATGTATATTTATGTAATTAATCCATATGGACAGCGGAGTATCTTTTTTCTTCCGCGCGCTTACAGGGGTTAGATCACGAGTTAGTGTGCAGCATTAAATACACGAAGAAATTTTCCTTTTGAAAAGTCTAATCTGCCCTCCATTGTTGCGCTGCTCAATTTAAAATTGAGGGTATGTACGTAGTTTCGGCAAAAGCAAAATTTATGGGAAGGTGCAAGTCAACTGTGGTCTGAATGTTTGACTCAAAAGACAAAAGGCTTTTCCTCTGAAACGGCTAATTACAGATGTGCTATATAGGCTGTTGCGCATTTGTACGGACCGAAGAGAGTTCTCTAGATTGTTGATAGAGAGAAGGCGAATATTTTCTATTCGTAATTTGAGGGGTAAGTTCGTGATCGACTTTTGGTAGATTTATATCATGGTTTTGTTGTTCCTGTGCTCCATATGAAATTTTAGGGTTAGGGTTTTGGTGTTCCTACTTTAAATTTTTGTTATTAATGAGGAGTTTTTAGCCAAGAAGTTTGACCGTCACACAAAGTTATAAATCAAGATAAACTTCATTATTTTTTATAAGAATAAAAATATATTCTTCCTTCCGTAGTGGAAAACTATGAGGAATACTATTCCTTCTTCAATACAACTTGACACCCCTATAAAGAGGGCTTTCGGGTTAACATAAAATGTACGATACAAATTCTTAAGAAAACTCTTAACCTTTTTCCTCCTTTCTAATTTACCACTGACTTGATTGTCGGAGGCTATTAGGCCAGTACCACACCGGTATCCGATCACCTTTCTTTTCCTTTTTCAGGAACGACGACGCTTTAGGTGGCCGCGGAATCCCGCATCATCAGTTGGCGCCGTCTATGGGAAACGATACTAGTTTCTTAGAATAACAACGATGTTGCGATCCGGAGTCCATCTTGGAGAAGGAAGTCAGCACCCCTCGTGTCTTGATAGAGGAGGCCACCACGACTAATCACATGACGATAGCAGCCACCATCAACCTGATGGCGAAAATCAGTCGCACGGTAATGACAGTCACCATCATGAGCGTGGTAACAGTGATCGTCAATTATACTATGACGACAGGCAACCCCGCCCAGGGGATGACCAGCCTTGCCTGAGGGGAGAACATTCCAAGCACACATCCCATCATGAGAACGTGTTAAGGAGCACTCCGGAAGAGGGGCAGCGTGTTGCAGCATTAGAACAACATGTTCAGAACCTTAGTCAAGGTATGAACCAGTTGGTCCAACAAAATGCAGCAATCATGTGGCACTTAGCTATCCCTGCAACACCCGTCGTGGAGGGTAACAATGATGATGACAGAGTTAGGCACAGCTATACGGGAGGTCGACGAAGAAACCTTTGTGCTTCCACTGCTCGTTCTCCACGTCGTTCTCCACGACAGAATATATTCGGTGCACAGACACCTCATCACCAAAAGGATGTATCTAATGCCGGAGAACACACCGAAGTTACCCACGTTGATCAGCAGATCCAAGATCTCAGGTTGTAAATTGATGGGATGGCCCAAGCCTTGAAAGAGAAAGGTCCCGCCACAGTTAATGACCTTATTCAAAAGATAAATCTACCTTTCAATCCTTGAGTGATGGCTTTCCCATTGCCAAGAAAATTCAAGATGCCCCATCTTGAGAGTTTCGATGGAACCCGTGACCCCCTTAATCACCTGGAAACTTTCAAGTCACTGATGAACTTACAAGCGGTCCCAGATGAGATCATGTGTAGGGCGTTCCCTACCATCCTTAAAGGATCAGCCCGTGTTTGGTTTAATAGATTGAAGCTGGGATCTATTAGCAATTTTGAAGAACTCAGTAAGCAGTTCATAGGGCATTTCATTGCAGGGAGATGACACCGAAAATCGGCTACCTATTTGCTGAATGTTAAGCAAGACAAATGGGAGGTGTTACATGACTATATTGGTTGATTTAATACAGAGATGTTACAAGTCGATGAGGTGGATGATAAGGTTGCTCTTACAGCCTTCATGGGAGGACTACAATCCTCTAAATTCCTTTTTTCTTTATCTAAAGACCCATAAAACAGTATGGCAGAATTATTTATTAAGGCCCAAAAACATATGTATACCGAAGATGCTATGAATTCTAGGAAGGGCAAAGAAGTCAACACAAGAAAGGAGATAAGAAAAGGTCAGCCCCTTTCTCCACAAGATGAAAGAGATTCCAAGCTCAAAAGGCCTGATAGGTCCCCTAGAGTCCCTAGAGGGCGAGATAGCTACACCAATTTCACTCCCTTAAATACTCCTATTAGTCAAATCTTGATGCAGCTCCAAGACGACCATACCTTGAAGCGGCCCCCTAAGTTAAAGTCAGATCCAACAAGAAGGTCTAAGGACAAGTATTACCGGTTCCATAAAGACCATGGGCATAATACCGATGATTGCTTTGACTTGAAAAGCCAGATTGAGAACCTAATTCGTCGGGGGAAGTTACATGGGTACGCAGCAGATTGTGAGAAGGGTACTGGTCAACCTATTCGTGAGAATAGAGAGAATAATCCCCCTGCCCACCCATTGGGTGAAATAAAGGTGATCTCCGGTGGACTAGCAGGAGGTGGAGAGTTGAGCTTGGCACAAAAATCCCATGTTAGGAGAGCCCGGAGCTCCATAGGAGTCAACAAGGTTGGGATATCCAAACCCCAAACGAAGTTCCCGAAACGGGAAGGTGAGGTTATCATTTTTTCGGAGGAAGATGCCAAGGGAGTTCAGCAGCCGCATGACGATCCATTAGTGGTGACAGTAGTTGTGGCCAACTACACAATCCATCGAGTATTAATCGACAATGGTAGTTCGGCTGACTTGTTATTTATTGATGCTTTCTACAAATTGTGTATTGGCAGGGGAGGGTTAAGGCCAACAAAATCCCCTCTCATTGGTTTTTCTGGGGAAAAAGTCTTTCCCTTGGGAATAGTTACACTTCCTGGTGGATTTTTTTGTGGTGGACTGTCCGTCTACTTACAATATAATATTAGGGAGAACGGCTCTAAATAATATGAGGGCCGTCACTTCCATATACAATTTATTGATGCATTTTCCTACAAAGCAGGTATTGGTGAATTAAGAGGTGACTAAGCAACAACGAGGGAATGCTATGCCGCCACTTTAAAAAGAAAACAGTTGGAGGAAGCATTAGCCATTGAGACACTAGAAGGTTTAATGGACAAGGAGCCCACTCAAAGGGAGGAGCTCACTCAAAGGGCAGAACCAGTAGAAGACCTTATGGAGATAAATTTGGAAGAAGAGGGAACCGGGAAAAATGTGAGTATAGGGTCACTACTCGACCCACTCATCCGGGATTCACTCATTCAACTTTTCAGAGGCAATAAAGACGTGTTTGCATGGAGGCATGACGACATGCTGGGCATCGACCCCTATGTTATGCAGCATCGGCTTAATGAGGATCCGTTCTTCAAGCCAATCAGATAGAAAAGGCGAGTGTTTGCCCAAAGAGGAACCGTGCTATATCCCGGGAGGTCGAGAAACTCCTGAGGGCTGATTTTATTCGAGAGGTACAATACCCCTACCGGCTCTCAAACGTGGTCCTGGTCAAGAAGGCAAATGGCAAATAGAGGCTTTGTGTGGATTTCACAGATCTAAATAAAGCCTGCCCAAAGAATAGTTTTCCTTTACCTAGGATCGACATGTTGGTTGAAGCAACGACATGTCATGAGTTACTGAGTTTCATGGACACTTACTCTGGATACAATTAGATCCCCATGTATGCTCTTGATAATGAAAAAACTTCCTTTATCACTGATAGAGGTCTGTATTGCTACAATGTAATGTCGTTCGGGTTGAAGAATGCCGGTGCCACCTATCAAAGACTAGTTAACACAATGTTGAAGCAACAAATATGCAGAAACATGGAAGTATATGTGGATGACATGTTGGTAAAGAGCCTCAAGGCTAATGACTATTTAGTTGATTTACAGGAATCTTTAGATGTGCTTAGGGCATATAAGATGTGGTTGAATCCAAGCAAATGTGCATTTGGGGTATCCTCGGGAAAGTTTCTGGGGTATATGGTAAGTCAACGAGGAATCGAGGCAAACCCTGAGAAGATTCGAGCAATACTAGATATGAGATCGCCTAGCTCAACCAAGGAGGCAGCATTAAACAGGTTAATATCCCGAGCCACCGACAAGTGCCTTCCTTTCTTTAGGATATTAAAGAAAAGCCTTCAAGTGGACCCCCGAATATGAGCAGGCATTCATAGAGCTCAAAAACTATCTTAGTTCACCACCGTTATTGTTCCAAGCAATTCCTAGAGAAGAATTGTACCTTTACCTAGCAGTTTCCCCTGTGGCAGTAAGCTTAGCATTGGTAAAGGAAGAAAGTGGTATTTAAAAGCCAGTATATTACACTAGCCAAGTATTTCGGGGAGTAGAAGAAAGGTACCCGGCAATAGAAAAACTAGCGTTTGCGCTGGTTGTGGCAGCAAAAAAACTCAGACCATACTTCAGGCACATACCATGATAGTACTGACAAACCAACCACTGAGGCAGGTTCTATAAAAGCCAGAGACATCCAGGCGCCTTATGAAATGGTCAGTGGAACTTGGTGAGTTCAACATCAGGTACAAGCCAAGGTTAGCAATAAAAAGTCAGGCACTCGCTAATTTTGTGGTAGAGCTTTCTTTCCCTCAAAAGGAAGATGAGTTCACAACCTCTGAAATGAATCCTGAGAATCAGACCCAGTTAGGTGATACTTGGTCACTTTATGTTGATGGGTCATCGACCGCCCGAGCCTGTGGGGCAGGTTTAGTGATTATATCGCCAGAAAGAGAGAATCTGAAGTATGCACTTCGATTTGGATTCAAGGCTACCAATAATGAAGCAGGATATGAAGCTTTGATAGTAGGATTGAAGCTGGCAAAAGCTCTTAGAGTGCAACACTTGAAGGTGTTTACTGTTTCTCAATTAGTTGCAGGTCAAGTTCATGAAGAGTATGAAGCCAAAGATGACAAAATAAAATTGTATCTACAGAAGGTAAGAGGCTTAATTGGTTACTTCAAGAAGTTCATGATCCAGCAAATACCCAGAATAAAGAACGAGAATACAGATGCATTAGCTCGACTAGCAACTGCAATCGAGCTTGAGAATACTAAGGCTATACCATTTGAGTACTTGGAAGAGCCTAGTATATCTGAAGAATGTAAGGAAATAAACCAGCTAGAACCAGGGTTGGAGTGGGCAAACTCAATAATAAAGTACATCATGGACGGGGAATTACCACAGGACCTTGTGGAAGCTCGGAAGGTCAGGGTCCGAGCACCCAGGTATACGTTCATGAATGGAATTCTCTACAAAAGAGGGTTTTATTAGCCTTTTTCTACGTTGTGTGTCAACTAAAGAAGCTCATTATATTATGAAGGAGATACACAAAGGAGTTTATGGGAACCATGTAGGGGGCAGATCCTTGGCCAACAAAGCAATCCATCAGGGCTATTATTGGCCTACCATGTAAAGGGATGCATTAGAATACGTGCGAAAGTGTGATAAATGTCAAAGATTTGCCAATGTTCCTAGACAACCCCCAAAGCAGCTAGTACCGATGTCCAGCCCATGGCCTTTCGCCCAATAGGGAATGGATTTGATTGGCCCCTTAGCCATGGGCAAAGGGCAAACCAAGCATGCTATAGTGGTAATCGACTGTTTCACCAAATGGGTGGAAGCCCAACCACTAGCCACAATCATAGCAAACAATGTCAAGGATTTCACATGGAAATCAATAATATGTAGGTTTGGTATTCCCCATGTTATTATTTCGAATAACGGGAAGTAATTTGATAGTGCTATTTTCAAGGATTTCTGTTCTGAGTTAGGAATAAGAAATCACTATTCTTCTCTTGGCCATCCGCAGGCTAATGAGCAGGTCGAAGTCGCCAATAGGACAATACTTAGCCAAATTAAAAAAACGATTGGAAAAGGCAAAGGGGTTGTGGCTAGAGGTACTTCCAAACGTGTTGTGGGCTTATAGAACCACCTCAAAGACCCCAACAGGAGAAACTTCTTTCCTCCTAACTTTCGGAAGTGAAACCGTAATTCCAGTAGAAATTGGTTTGGCAAGTTTCAAGACCACCAACTACGACCCCCTCCAGAATGAAGAAAAGCTGTTAGTCAACTTGGATTTAGTTGAAGAAAGAAGAGAGCAAGCCCAAGTTAGGGTGGCAGCATACCAACAAATGATGTCCTGATATTACAATTCTCGGGTGAAAAAAAAAGAGGTTTGAGCCCGGGGATCTTGTGTTACGTAGGGTCACCCAAGCTACCAAGGAACCGAACGAGGGTAAGCTTGCTGCCAACTGAGAAAGCCCTTATAGGGTCATTCAAACAAAGAGACAAGGCACCTACTGGCTAGAAACACTAGGAGGGAAGTAACTTGGCCATCCTTGGAATACTGAGCACCTCAGAAAGTACTATCAGTAGAATTAGACATTAGTACGTGCCTTTAGTTTCATATTGTCTAGTGCTACTTCTAGTTAGTGCTACTCTTAGTTTCATTTTAGTATTATGTAGTTTAGATTATTTGTAACCGTAAGTGAATCTTCGGTTTGACTCTCAATAAAATCCATTTTTATCGCATTAACTATGCAAATTTATATTTTCATCTATCCTATAGATATAAGGTTGTCCCCGTATTATAAGGGACTAACATTAATATGCCCTGTATTATAAGGGTCCGGGCTGAATGAATCCCGTAAATCTCATCCCTGTATTATAAGGGACTAACATTAAATGCCCTGTATTATAAGGGCTCGGGCTGAATGAATCCCGTAATTAATGTCCCTGTATTACAAGGGATCATCACAAAAAGAACAAAATGTTCTGCACTTCAGGACTCGGGCTGAATGTATCCCGTAGCTCTTATCCCTGTACTATAAGGGTTATAATCAAGTAAGTTGCATTAAAAGGGTTAATAAGAGGAGGCGAGCTATAGAGTTCAAAAGAACAAATAAATAGCAGCGCCCAACCTAAGTTGGCGAAACTACAGAGTCGTATTCAGAGCAATAATAAACATTGTTCTTAAGGAAATGCAATAAAGACAATTACACATTCAAGACGTAAAATGGCCACTGCTGTGGGCCTCCAGGGCTAGATTCTACTGATCTCATTCTTAATGGCTCGGTTTTCCTTCTTTTGATCCTCCCTGGCACGGTCCACTCTGAAAACAACTGCTTGGACTCTGGTCTCTAGAAGCAAATGGCTGAAAATGCTGGAAATCCAGGTCTTCATAGGTGGCCATAACTTGTTGTCTAAACTCCTCAAAACCATCAAAAATATAATTTGCGTTGACCCAATCAAATTTGGCTGAGGTCTTGTACTCCTCCATGGTAGAAGATTTTTCAATCACTAGCCTAGCTTGGAAATGTTTTTCGATCCTTTCTTTCTCTCTAGTGCAGTCGATCTTAACTTCTTTTCGAATTACCCTTTTAGCTGTCAGCTCCGCATCTAGTGCTAGTATAGACTCTTCGAAGAGCTTCGTATGTCGAGATAGCTCTTTAGCGAATGCTCCCATCTATGTGCACAAGTAAAATTATTAGTTATCGACAAGGAATATATATTACTCAAGAGTAAAAAGAGGTAAGACGACTTTACCTTGCAAACATTCTGGGCGTGAAAGGCTAAGAGCTACTCGAAGGGAAGCCCCTTGAGCCTTTCAGAGTCATATGGAGGCATGAGCATGTTCTTAACTATGTCATTCACATAGTTTACGTAATTTAAAATAGATGTATCAGTTTAATGAGTAAAGGCATTTTCAGGGAGATGCATTCCTGTATAAAAAATCTGCTCATGAGCAACTGCAAGGGGAGTGTCGTCAACAGGAGTAGGATTTCCTTGATTTTGAAGTGGTCGAGTTCTCTTAGGATAGTGGGGAGGTGTAGCCTTCTCCTTGGAACGCTTTTCCCGAACTTACGAAAGAATGTCACTCCCAAATCTCCTCATCGACAGGGATGAGGAGCCCTGTGGCGAGGCTTTGCTTTTAGCACG